CCTCTCTCTCTCTCTCTCTCTCTCTCTCTCTCTCTCTTTGAAAATGAGTTAAAAATTCTATTAAACAAATATGTTTAAACTTAAATTAATTTTTTTGTTTTTATGTGTAAAAGTTGACATATCGTTTTATGAAAACACGTTAATTATTAAAAACTTTAGCTTCATTTTTTTATTTAATGTTAAATAATAAGAAAATATAACATTTCTTTAAACATAATAATAATTAAAATATTTGTTATAATTTTTCCAATAATAAATTAAATAATATCAATTATTTTATTATATTTGTGAAATATAGTAATGTTATAGACTATAGCAAAAATGTATACGAAACTTTTTTACCAGTTTTATATTCCTCTTCCTTTTCTCGTTCCATTAACGGGAAGACTTCTTTTTATTAGAAGGACGGCATCCTGGGAGGTTATCAAAAAGCGATAGAAAAGGACGTTTTCTTCTCGAGCGCCCTTTTGCGCTTCCTCGCTCTCTTTCCTATGCGAAACTCGCGCGGAAGCGTAATCGTTTCTGTACCCGATAACGCGTTTTATCCGCCACCTTCTCCGTGCTCCTTTCTGCCGCGATTCACCAAAGGCGGTAACCTTTGAAAATCACGATTTCGCGGAACGATAGAGGCGTACAGTTATTTGTTAAGAGGACACGGCAAAGTACGACGTAAGGACCAAGGACAAAAGAGATCAACGCGAAAAAAGAAGAGACGCGCGTCGCACCCTGGAAGATGCAATCTGCCGTGGTATTGTTTGATGCGATTTGCCAGCGGTTATTGTTTCGTACGTCGCAGCCACGAAGTTACACAATTACGTCGACATCGTTGTACGGATTCGCCTCTCACGGCGCCTTGCCGACCTCTTCCTCGACGTTCCCACTATCCCCTGGGGCACAAAAGCGACTGCTGTCGAGAGTCCGTCCTAGCATACCGACTCTACTGGATTGTTCGGGATTCACGGAAAATTTCTGAGTGAGAGAGAGTGAAAGAGAGCGAATCGGAGTTTCTTATTCTCGTCACTTTTCTCGACGTTTCCGCGATACTTCCGCATTTCTCATCAAAGTGCTGGAAGTTGGAATATCGCGGAACACAGGATAAACCGGAATAGATGATAAGTACCGTATACAGAGATGATTTGTGACAAGTTCATTCTTTGATGATTAAACGCATTACGGTTAAAATCGGTTTATTTTCACGATAGCGGAAGCACGTCGGTTACTCGCAAGATAGCCATTATTTTCTTTTCGAAAGAAAGAAAATCTTTCTGTTTGTTTTCTCTCAACGCGCAGTATTCTTGTTATTTTTTTTATATGATTCTTAAGCATTTTTTAACAATTGTGTTTATATATATATATATATATATATATATATATATATATAGTTTAACATTCAAGATCTAAACTACGATATCGACATCAAGATATCGCATTTTAAAGAATTTTAGTAGCGGCGTTCTTACGAGTTTATAAATATGATAACAATTAGTTCAGTATTCCTATGATAGTCTATGTATATCTATTAAAAATATTTTAAATATTTAATATACTTATTACCCACAAATAAGTCGATCGCAGTTGTCAAAAAACCTAGAAATTATATTTTTTTTTTTCATAGAACTATTAGTGTTTCATCTACAATATTAACCGGAAAAAAGAACAATAAGATTCAACAATAGAAAAACAAGAATTTTGTAATATATTTAATAATTCATATATATTATTACTTTTAATACAATTCAGCTAAAGTTATATAGACATAGATTTTATTTCACATTTAAAACATTATTTCATATTATGGTCCAAAGTAATAGTTATATTTTATTTCCTCACGGTAGAAAATGGAGACTTTGCCCGCGTAATTAAATAAGGAAATAAGAAAGGAAAGTAAAAAAGACAAGGTATAAAAGAAACGAATCTTCATAACTTTAATCCATCGATTCCTCAAGTTTTTTTAGTCTGTTACGGTCAGTCGAATATGTAAACGCTATGTTCTATCAATTTCAAGTAAATTATATTTTTCGCTCAAATTAAACGAATTAATTGTAACTCAAAGTCCCAAAGCAATGTAAAAAGTCCCAAAAAAATGTAAAAAAATGTTTTCACTACCGACTGACATAATACCAAATCAATACCATATAAACATTTACTTGATATAGAAAAATATTCATATTAAATTAAGATAATCAATTCTGTATAATCAAAACTTGCAAAATACCTTTTATGAAAAAATCCATTTTAATCCATTAGAATTTTAGATATCCTAAAGAGTTCACCAAAGAGTTGAGGTTTTTTCAGAACATAATCAAAACCTTTCCGAAGCTTCTAAAGAAAATTATAAAATAAAAAATTCCGTAATATCTTAAAACAATTTTTTTTTCGTATTTTAGAGTTTTGAAGCTTTGGGTAAAAGAAACGAAATTGGATGTTGAAAATAATCTACCGATAAAATTAAAATCTAAAGAAAATATGCATATTATTGTTTATTTATGATATTATGTAATTGCCGCAATCGGATTACACAGTTTTAAATTTATATTTCTATCATCAATAACTGGTCGTTGAAATGTAATTCATGTCTGCTACTTTGTCATACTAGAAAATCCTAGCATGTCTGATTTTTGTGTAATAATGCATAGGACAGTTATTATAAAAACAATGAAAATGTATTTCTCTCTTTCTCCCTCTCTCTCTCTC